CGGCGCATATTTTTTAAAGGTTGGGGATCTCCGCTGGTACAAATCAAAGGTTAGGGTAAAACGCGCAAAAATCTGAAAGGTTTGGGACCGCAGCTGCAATTATCCCTTAATATTACAGGGTACATTATGCCCATTGGATTGGTTAAAATTTAAATATATTTTAATAAAATTAATTATTTGGGCTTGTCTGAGTCCCATATCTTTTTTTTAAAAGAATACATTTTGTAATAGTGTTATAATGAAAAATGTGTGATTAAAAAATAAGAAAAAAATTTGAGTTTACGTGTAATATTATTTTACTGAAAATGTGTGATTGAAATGAGATTAAATCACTGTTTAATAATACATTTTGACGAGAAAAATGAGACTCAAACAACGTGGAAATATATTATTGGAAGTTAATAAAAATATGTCAAAACTTTGGTTGGTGGAACGAAGATGAGAAAGGTATACGCTTCTTTCTATGTTAGTGATGTCACAATGAGGTGAAATCTTGCGCATTTAACCCCTGTTTGGCATCCGTTTTTTCCCATTTTTAAACATAATTCATTTTGCAACAGGAAGAAGGCTGGACACGCAATGGATGAATTTGACTTGTGTCATACTACTCATTTCAATTGAATATTACCGTTGCCTTTAATTTCCAATTTTGCGCTCTTTGAAAGTGTAAATTCGCATTTTATTAAAGGCAAAGCAAACAAAAAATTGAAGGGCATTTGTGTGTGTAAATTAATGTGTACTGCAAAGTGTTGAGCTGGCCCATGCAGACCTGCTGTTGTCGGTTAAAAATGACAGGAAAATGTACATGGGGCCCACAACTGTAGCAAAATGAATTGGAAAAAAAAATAGAAAGAATGGATGCCAAACGGGGGCTTAAGTCAAAGTTTCAATTTAGTCCATGTATGATTCTCATTTTTTAAAATTCAATATTTTCAAAATTATTTTTAATTATATATTTTATGAAATTCACAATTTTTCAATCACACATTTGATCAACTTTTATTAAAATAAAATCTATTAAAAATTTTATTTTTAACTAAAATAATGTGTATTTGATGCACATTAAAATGGAAATAATATATTTTTTTTACGTGATAATGAATATGCGGTTGAAAAAGAATGAAAAGTTATTGATGTGATGGTAAATATTGTTTTATTGAATAATGTGTGATTGAAAATGACTAGAAGTATGAGAATGAAAATGAAAATGTGGCTTAAACAGGAGCTAAACAATGACTTAATTTAGTAGGAGAACGCAGTAGCTTGCTCGACACATTTAAAATATTAGAAAACTCAAAAGTTCGTTGATGTGACCAAAAACATCTTTCTTTAGAAAAATAAATGGACTTAGATGCAAGTATTATATAGATTGGCTGGATGTTTTTAGGTTGTGTACATTTATCGACGAACTAAGTGGCTGTTTGGTTGGAATTTTTAGCCAGACACAATTGATTATTAGACCGTTTCTTGTTACCGTTTCTCACAGACCTTCAGCCGCAATCTTGGAAATGTGACTGTTGCTGGGCTTCAATGATAATAAAAGCAATTTTAAGCTGAAATTAATTACTGACAGACATGGTTTAAACGTGTGCATATTATTACCGATGCTTTGTGAGAAAAGATTGATAGAAAGGTCCCAAATTCATTATTGGTTATTATGAACGCTAGATCATCGTAACACTACCTCAACCTACCTTAAATGACTATGGGACACTACCTTAACTTACATTAATTTACTAGTTTAACTCTCAACACTAGTAGGTTCTCCCTCAAAACCAATTTGTCTGACTTTAGTACGATCATTTGATATTTGATTCATTTCTTTATACGGATCAAAACTTAAAAGCTTGAGCTCGAGTATTAAAAAGTATGTTTAATCCGTTTAAATTTAAGCTTTGCCAAACATGGCCTTGAGCAGAAATAGATATTTCGCAGCCCCAACACAAGTGATTATAAATATAATCGGTTGATATCGTTTCACACTCTCTCCAATCGGTGAGAGCCCTAGAAACAGAGAGGGTTTCCCTGATCTCCCCCCTCTCACTTCTGCTCTCTACAGAGAGAGCTCACTATTTATACATACATATAAATCTATCTATATTTATATATATTTACATATTTTATATATCTAGGTATCAGGGGATGGATTTTCAATTATCTCAAAATAAGGGTTTGACTTCACTGCACCTACCACCAGTGACAATTGAAGCTAATGTGAACGAGGAGCAGAAGGTGAAGGATCCGCCGGCGTATATGACAATGGTGGATCCTTTTCTAGTTGAGGCGCTACAAAATCCTCGTCATCGTCTAACCAGTTTGTTCTTTTCCCGCTTTATGCTTTCCAGTTTTTAATTTAGATTAATCTGTAATATTGATATATTTTGTAGCGTAATTTCGTTTTATGTTGCTATTATGTAATAGGGATTTGTGATTTTGGGTGTAATGCGTAATGAATCGCGTTGGGTTTTGGTAATTTTTCGGAAAATTGGGTTAGATCTGGTTGGATTCAATTGTAAGAACTGGAGTTTTCTTGTTTTTTATTTGATCGGATGAGTAAATGTAGGAAATTGTTGGTGCCTACTATTTTGCTGTCGTAATTGAGATAATCCTGTGCATGGAGTGTGTAGAAAACAAAAGAAGCTTGCTAATGCTATTTAGTTGCATTGCATCAGTGGTGAGTGTTTCATTACCTTAGCATTGGTCCCAATATATTCACGAGCACACACAAATTGCATTCTTTTACATCAATGGTAAAGTAGAACTAATCAAGCCACCGGTTAATGGATACTTCGCTTATATACATATAGATCATGGCAAATCAAGAGTTTTTTATGAATAGGGGAAATTATGGTAGAGAAAGGAGCACACAACCTTTGCCAACTGGTTTCTTTCTATTTCTCATTTTCTCTTTTGAGGATGTCAGTAGGGCACCGAGTTTGTGTCTATAGTTTGTGAAGACGTGTTATGATGATATGGACAGATCAAATAACTTGCAGTTAGCTAGTGATGGAAGCTGCCATGTATAAATATGGGTCAAACCTTCTTCGGAACTTTATAATTCATGAGAACATAAGTGGGAAAATTCAATATAATAATACACTAATAATTATAAAGAGAGCCAAAGAAAAGAAGGTTGTAAAGGAGAGAAGAATGCGTCGTTCACGGTATTGTGAAGCGAAGACAGATAATTACTTTTATGACTGAGATATATAACCTGAATAGAGTTTCTGTATCTTCTTTAAGTTTCCCAAAGACAATGAACAAAAAGGAATATAATAAGAATAATAATGATCTGTTTGACAAAGATTTTGTAAATTTTGAACAAATTGAAGCTCTCAGCGGAGAACATGAATCTTCATCTTGTTATGATGTTATATCGAGCTCTCAATGAACCAAATAATTGGAATAAGGGGAAAAGAAGATTAATGCTTATTAACTTAAGAGATTGTGTCACCTGTCAAGTTCTCAGACTTATCATGGTCAGAATTGAATGGTTTCTTGCAGAATAACTTGTGTCTCTGCTTGGGATAACTTCTCTCAAAATACATTTACAAAGAGAATCTTTCGAAGGTCTGGTCTTGAAGTTTTAGCGGGTGAGATTGCTTTAGTAAACAAGCAGAATTTTTTTCATTGCAATTGGACTTCAAAGATTGGAAACTTTGAAGTGAATCCTCTCATAAGAAGCGGGTTTATTATGTTTATTAAATATATTTTGGTGTGGTTTATTCTTTTTATGACTTTTGAGTTGTGAATGGTATGTATGTATATATCTTCCTGTGAAGGATGAATAAGAAGTTTAAGAGCCAAAATTCATTTCTTTTATTTATTTATTTATTTATTTATTTTTGGTGGTCATTTTGCATGTGAGAGCATTTGACCATACTGGTCAGATCTGAATGGGCTGATAGTGCTTTAACATTCTAGTCTATTTATAATTTTGTTTTTATTGATTTATTGCATCTTTGTCTCCTCGGTTTGTGGATGACTAGCAACTGAGTTCTTTTTTCTTTTTGTATTTGATTTTTACCAGTTCTGCGAATGGAACTCGATATACAAAAGTTCTTGCAGAATTCTGATCTGCAACAATTTGAGTTTCCACACTTCCCTACATCATACCTTCGTCTTGCTGCACACCGTGTAGCTCAACACTATTGTTTGCAGACTATGGTTCAGGATAACGTCATAGATGGCCAGGGAATCCGTATTTTGGTCATAAAGAAACCAGAAAGTAAGTTCCCTGTTGTCTGTTTATCGGATGTACCAGCTAAACAGTCAGAAAATGAAAAACTTGATCAAGTAAAGATTGTGATAAAGCCAAGGCATTCTAAGGCTTCCTCAAATGAGATCAATGGAATGGGGCTTAAGCGCAGTCCTGTTAGAACTGTGGAAGAGAGGAAGGAGGAGTATAACAGAGCACGAGCTCGTATTTTCAGTAGTCCAAGTAGTTCTGGTCCAGAATACGCATTTGCTCAGGTTGCTTCTGTTGTGAATAATTTGAATGTAGTTGAAAATGAAGTTTCAAGGAACTTGGATGTCGATGAGGACAAAAGCAGTAGCAACAGGGACATTGGTAGTTCTTCTAGAGTAGCCATTTTTAGGGACAGGGAGAAGGATCTTACTGACCCTGATTATGATCGCCGTTATGATAGGTATGTTTAGATTATGCTTCAACCACTATCTAAATTTTCAGTTCGAGAATGTGTGGGTTATTTCTCAAGTTATTGTGTTGCCTTAATCCTGGATTGCCAGAATTGAAGTTCTCTGTTACTAAATAAATATATTGACTGAAGCACTGAACAAATGTCTGAAAAGGTTATATTTTCTTGGTTTAATCATCTTCTATATGTTCAGGCATTCAGCAGAATAGAACTTTAGCATAATTTAACTTACCAACATTTTACTTATTCTTTGGTCTCCTTAGTGTATCATTGATTCTTCCATTACTGAGTGACTAATGTATGACCATGGTAGAAGCCTGGTAAGGAGACTTTTAACTGTCTTGAGTCTTGCCCACTAGCCTCTTTAGCCAATCTTACACAGGGACATCCTCTCTCTTGATTGATATATGTCCGCAATTATTATCCTCAGAACTGCCTTTCCAAATAAAAAGGATCAAAATCGGAGGCTCTTTCTTACGTAATTAGAATTTATATTTAAATCCAAGGCATTTGAATTGCTGACCTTCAAATTTTTCATTTTTTTTCCTTTTTTGTTCTTTCTTCTAACTTTCATACGCTTGTACTTGGGCTATTATTCTCTATCAGTTTAGATAGAACACTTACTGCAGGATTCTTCATTCTCATTTTATAGAACTTCCATTGGACTTCTGAGTAGTATAATAATTTCACTCGATTAGCACTTGATGTTTTGGATTATTACAATGCACAGCTCAACTTGCTAGCCTTTTTCAGTATTATGCTTTTGAGTATGTATAGTCATAGTTTTGAATGGGGAAAGTTGAATATGGTAGACAACCTAGGAATGGTTGCGAAGGGGGAAAGAGATGCTATGCTTAGGTGGGTACGGATGGAACATAGTAATGCTAATTCTTGTAGTCACTTTGACTATCATTTCCCTTATCCATCAACCCCCTTAACTACATAATTTTATCTATTTCCATGCAAACAGTCTAAATTACTCTCCTTTTTAATGGTGCAGATATGTTAAAAACGTCCCAAGCACTCAACATTTCAGCTTAGCACCTTTTAATATGCAGAAATTCCAGCCTCCATTTGTGCAATACGATTCTGTTTTTCCTCAGCTGAGTCAGATGCCAGTAGCTCAAGCTCCCATCAATTATCAAACCCCAATCATGAGTCCATATTGTGCCATGGGATTGAATCAGATATCTCGGGATGCTTTATATGTGCAGTGGCCAAGTCAGTCCATGATGTATGCACGATCTAATGATCAGCCGAGAGATGCCTTTTGTCAGGTAGGTGTTAGCTTCTTTCTCCATTACTAATGTATGATTCTGTTTTGGAAATGTGCATTAGTTCAGATATTGGTTTACAAGTGCCAGTAGTCATGGGGTAACTGTGATTTTTTGTTGGCAAATTTATTATTTCATCGGTTCGTTTATTATTCGGATATCAAATGACACAACGGTAGCAATCACTTGTTGACATCACACCATATTGTATAAATTGCAAAATCTATTCTGATATCAAAAGATGCTAACATGCATGTAATACTCTGACAATAATGTCGATGAACATGGTTCTTATCGTTTATCCACTTTAGTCTATATTCGCAAATTCGACAACTAAAGCACTCTCTTATGTTTGGTGTAGGTTCCCTTCTGTCAGCAGCCCCTAAGTTTTGATTATTCCCAGAACCATAGATGACATTTCAAATATCAGCTGGGAGAATGTCTGTATTACTGAACTAGACACTGTCTTGTTCTACATAGTATTTATTAATTTAGATCGAAGTGTCAGAAACTGTTAAAACTTGAAGTTTTGATTTAGCTTCGTTTTGCTTTTACTAGTAAATTTGATTTAAGTTGGCGAACAATTTATGGACCAACTATTATTGTTTGTAGGATATTTCATGATTCCATAATTCTGTTGGCTTGACATTGTGAATGCTATAAATGTATCTCACGACCATATTTTACGCGTTCATAAGTAACTTGTTTGATAAGGTGGACTGGACATCAGTTGACAGAATCAAAGAGGAATATTTTAATAATTTTATCCATGTACTGAATAAATGCACCTATGGTCCAACCAGTTGGGAAAGAGTCGATAATTTCTGGGATCCTATTTAAAATAATAAACTTTTTTTAATTCGATTGATGAATATGTATTAATTACATGAATTATGGTTTCTTTAATTTATTGTAGAATTAGTGGCCCCTATATTTTCGTTTCTTTCTTGTTCAATTAAATCTTGAACACGTGAACATCCAAAATTATTGAGGAATGTTATTCATCCCCAGTGGGGTTACAAACATAGTTTAGGTGTCGTTAATGTGTCATTAAATGATAGATGATTCATTTAATTTCACCTATTATTTAACGTCACATAGACTGTGTTTGTAACCTCAGTGAGGATGAATAACATTACTCAAAATTATTGGATTAATTTAAGCATTTAGCAACACCCAATGACACTTTACTGTGATTACAAGGTGGTGCTATTCAAGATGGATTTAGAGGGATAATTTGGATTTTTGTTTGTTCTTGAAAATTGAAAACAAAGTCTGAAGCACATCACATGGGGGCCAAATAATGGGCTGTGAACAATTCAGTGCCAGCTTGATATCATATCATATGATTTCTTGATCTCATAAACTATAAATTAATGGATAATATGGGATTTGTTTATTAATTTTACACAACTAAAGATGGGATGAAGACTTTGTTAATCTGGCTGTGAACTGTCAAACAATGATTGAAACCCTTCATTTGAAGCAAATACACGTTCTTTTATCGAGTCGATATTATCGATTCAACTCTAAAAAAATTACTGAATAATATATATGACACGAGATGAACCTCAAATCGTGTGGATCAAAACTTATCTGATAAAGAATTTTGTTAGCTTAAGATAATTTTTCTGAATCGAATGAAGTATCATAATCAAAATTTTAACTATCATGTACAAAATCATTCTTGAAAATCCAATTTCTTTCTTTATTTTTATTTTTTTATTATATAAATATATATTGGCAATCAATGCATGATTGAGCCAATCGGTTTGGATAATTGATAAATAAAAGACCAAGAATCGTGGCTGTCTGGAAGGAGGGTGGCACGCTTTTCATTTATTTAATTAATGCTGGATTAGCTATAATTAAAAAAAATGAGTAATGCTATTTAGCACCGCTGATTTATAATATCAGTTTATGTGACAGCATTAGTGACATTTAATTACAAGTTCAATTAAATACAAGAATTATGCCCCATTTAATAGGATTTATGATATATTGACACCTAAATTAGTGTTCTGACACTACTGATACTAGATAGAATCATTCTTAAAAAATCATATGACCCATACTCCTCTAATTCCTATTCCGAATTAGAAACCCCCTCCGTCCTGCCTTGCTTTGTACTATTTTGTTCGTAACTTTACGAAACTAAAAATTCAATTTTTTCAATCGAGCTTCTATATTCTATAAACCAATTATATGGCCGTGGGTTGAAGACAATGGTTAAGATTTTAAATGTCTAATACATTATTTTTCAATTTTAATTTTTTTTTCCAATTTGCACAATTTTATGTGATAGTCGAGTTGCCTAGCACGATTTTGAGGGTGTGCTAAGAATAATTTTGATGACAAGTTTCACAATATAGAAATAGGACGTGTTTTTACCACCTAGGTAAACATGTTCCCACGTAGTAGTCGGAGTACTAAATGCTAATGGAGCCGTGCTATTCGTACCGAAAATGGCTGACATACAAATTGACCGACACTCATAATAGTGGGGCCTCACTTTTGTTTTAGAATTTTTTAATCACGCAGGGCCCACCGCATGTAAAAATTGTCAAATTCGTTGTCTTCCATTTTCGATACAAATGGAAAAGTCCAATGCTAAGGAGCTCTGGAGTCCACGAAATTACATTTTCACCCTTGACATGTTCAATTGTCCCCACACCCACCTGTCCACCACTCGAAGTTTACAATTATTTACAAAGTGGGGACAGACGAGATTCTTTCATCAATATCCTCATCTCGTAGACTCGTACGATGAAAATCTGAAATTTCTTATGGGATTTTTGCATTTATATTACAAGCCAAGTCTTTTTAGATATTTCATCACCATTGTCTTTTTCATGTCATTATTCCAGTTTTATGCTAACCTCACGTTTTCCATTTCTCTTAAAAAAACATAGGTCTGTCTCCAGGTGGGACCCGTGGAATTTATTATTTTTTAAGTTGAATTATGATTGTTCATTTAGTGAACCATTCAACGACCGACCCACGTCAATACTAAGCCCGACGGATATGACTCTCACCTTTCCCTCTCTCGTCGAGGTGAAGACCTAAAAATCAAATCTACGTTTAGTTGATGATTTATCTAAAGAATTCTTTATTCTTTTCAACTATGTTTAACGATATATAGCTGAAACGTCGCATATCAAATAACTTTACAATAACAAACATGGAAATCTAACAGAGGCCTTCGGAGTCAACCAAAATTTTTCCAAATATCGTCTCCCTAGCAAGTTCATTACAAGGTTCTTGTAGGAGTACAGCACAATGGAGAACAAAATCATTTGATAACTAATGAGAGAGATCTTTTCAGTTATGAAAAGAAGTGATCTCACCAGTTTGTTCAAGATTCCAGACTCCACTATGGCAACTAAACACGATGAGTTGAGTTGAGCCATACGAGGAAAATTAAGGGGACTAAAACCTCAGAAAGCATTAGTGAAACATATACATAGAGGTCGATGCATGTCTAGTAGAAAAAAGACAGCAAATCACACAAAGCGGTTATTAGAACTCTAGAAATTTAAGGAAATGCAGCTGCAGTTATAGTTTGTTTCACAGGATACAGATGTAGAAGCAAAATGACTTGTCATTAGAATTGTTAAGGTTTCTCTGCAAGATTTCTGAATATCAAGGTTTAAATGTCTGCATAAAACAACAGCAGTTACAAGAAGTAGGACTCGACTCTACGCAAGGCTATATTAGGAAACGAGAGCACAAAGCTGCTATGCCGGAGATCATAGGAAATCAACTAGAAAATACAGTACCATATGAGGCTGTCTCTGGACAGTAAATCTTCATCTCAAACTTCTTCAAGACATTGTAGTACAGTGATTCTTGCCAGCATTGTTCTCCTTCGCTGCACTATCAAGAGTTAAACAATTGGCTGCTTCAGACATCGGCATATCAAATCGAACATTTTACCGGTAGATTTCTCGTGCTTTCAAGTACTTATTTCAACGCCAGTTATGACAATATTGCAGCCAAAAGTGACATCATGGTTGATATCCGTCACTGGTAGGCCGGGGTGGGGTTGGATTAATATCGCCTACAGAACCGACATGGACAAAACAGAATGGTGATGACTTGCAAAATCATAGAACTAGACTCCTTCACAACAGAATCGACACAATGCAATGACTCATTCTAAAAGACACGAACCAGGTCCTCACGAAAAAACTAGAATATACTACTAAATCATTCCATGATGACCCGATTATGAAAAGAACTCAACCTACAACATCAACAACACCTATGAACATAAATTTAACCCAATACGACATCTAAATCAAATACTAGATAGTTTCCCCATGAACACAATACTCAGACGCGAAATTGACAGGAAAATGCAGTGTTCCATGAAAAATTCAATGATTTCTCCATATTCAATCATCACCATTAGGAAACAGAGTGAGAACTTTCCTTCCATTTGTGGCAGTGGCAGACTCCAAATCCTCCACACACGGCAGTGGCACCACGGAGGAACCATTTCTGATGTGCACCGGTGTACCCGTCCTTTGCACCTGCTGTTGTGACTGCCTCATAAAGGGATGCTCAAACTGCCCATTGGGTGGTGAAGTCCCAAAATGCCTAAATTGCTGCTGCAGCTGATGGTGGTGCGCCCCTGGCCCCACCACCGCCATCTGATGATGATTCTGCATTGCTGCCACCGGCAAAAAGGGGAGAAAATGGTCGGAATTTGGCCTGCTGGGATGCAGAAAATGAGCTGGCACTGGTGAGCTGGCGAATAAATGGTCCGTAGCGGGGTCTACACTGACGGCAGCCAGTGCTGCCGGAGAATTATTAACTCCAACACCGCCACCATTACTCGAAATTCCTTGCATCCGCTTCAAATAGAGCCTGTACTTCTGCAAATGACTAGCGACATTTTCTCTAGTGAGTCCATCCACACTCATGAGTTGCATTATGGTCTTGGGGACAGCATTTTTTATTCCCAAATGGGCCACAGCATCCACAAACCTCTTGTGCAGCTGCGGCGTCCAAACGAGCCTCGGCCTCTTCAACGTCCGTGCCGGTTCGTCTCCAGCCCCGGATCCCCCGCCACTGCCGCCCTCTCCTCCGCCGCCCANTGTGGCTAGATTGTGGTTACAATACTCTCTTCACCATTAGACAAAACCTGTGTGGGCAGTAGAAACTGTGGAGCAACCGTTTGTGAGAGGTTGGGGTTTTGGTTTTCTCTTGTGGTGTTTGGTTGGTGGATTCTGAGCCCGGTTTTGAAGCTATTAAACGGTGTTTTAACTTCACAAAACCCTTCATTTGAAGCAAATACACGTTCTTTTATCGAGTCGATGTTATCGATTCAACACTAGAAAAATTACTGAATAATATATTTGACACGAGATAACCTCAAATCATGTGGATCAAAACTTATCTGATAAAGAA